AGGGCGCGTTAGGAGAGGCCGCGACCAAGCGTGCTGGGGCCTCGGTCGGCACAGGATCTGGGCTGCATGTGGACAGGGGGAGGGGAGGCGTGGGATTGGCCGCAGACGAATCTCCCGCGTCGGCCGAGTTAGCAACAGGCGGGAGTGTTCGGATGGGCCCCTCAATGTCGCCCAGCAGGCGCGACACAGGCCCATCATCACAAGGAGGGGCGTTGTCGACTCCTGATTGGCTGATTGGGATCGCCAGGGAAACCCCAGTGGGGCTTGGGGAGGAAGGCGTGACGCTGGTTGGCCGGTTTGAAATGCACGCATCTCGGGACACCTGGGACCCAAAGGTCTGCACAGGGTCGGATGGGCTGGTCTCCAGCGCCGGGGATGGCGCGTCTGGCGCGTCACGTGGCCCAACATCGGTCAGCAGGGGGGTGTCGCCCAATCAGAGCCGCGCGGAGACCCGGTCAGCGGAGGGAAAAGCATCAGGGTGGGGCCCCAAGATTCCCTCCCAACCACGGCACAGAGGAGGCACGTGCGCATGGCGACGGCCGCGCCGGTGGCCGCCCCGACCAGGGTGCCGCGAGAGCCGCCGGAGCGGGCAGGGGGGAACTGGTGATGCTGCGGCCAGCGCGGAGGCAGCGGGGGGGGGAGTCCTGCGCAGCTCCATCCTCGGAAGCAGGCGGGGGTGGCCGGCGGTAATCAACGCAGGAAGCCACGTGGATACGGACGGGGAAGCGCGCGAGCCCAAGCGCGAGGCGCTCGGCGCGGTCCGGGTCGGCGTCAAGCTCCACAGCGTCGTCGCCCGGCAGGAGGAGCTCGGAAGAGCGCGGAATCGCGTCCGGGTTGATGGTCCATGCGCTCAAATGAAAGACGGACATGTCGGCGAGGTTGCACGTCTCGGGGGCGAGGTGCTTGACCTTGCAGAAGGGGACGAGCAAGGTCTCGGCGGCCGCCCGGTGCCAAGTGTGATCAGGGATGTCGTAGAGCTCGAGGGACACAAGGAAGAGCGCCTTAACGGGCTCGGAGCCGGCCTCGCGACCCCATGGATGGAAGATCAGCCGGAACCGGAGGTGCGAACGCGGCTCAGGGTGACGCGGGCACGGGACTCCATGCTGGAGAAGCAGAGAAGGAAATCTTCTGGAGCGTGCTTGTGAATGGTGAACTCCGCAGCGGCAAGATCACACTGGGAGCAAATGGCGTCGGCAACCTCCTTCCGCGACACGCCCGTGCGGCAGCCCGCGACGATGACGAGCAGCGCACGCTCCAGCGCACGCTCAGCCTCGATGATCTCCTGGGAGCGCGGTAGGTAGCACACAGCGGCCGCAGGGCGAAAAGCAGGGTGCCCGGAGAGCGGCGTGGCGACGGAAGAGGCGACCGAGGTCGGCGAGGAAGGCCGCGAGGAAGACGCAGGGGCAGAGGTGGCCGGAGACGGCAGGGCGGCCTGAGACGAGGCCGCCGCAGTCCACCCGAAGGACTCAAGGGATGCGTGTCCCGGGGGCGATCCGGCGCCCTGGGCAGACCCGGAGAGCACGGGCGCACCAGCCCCAGAAGCCCCCGACGCGGGCGTGAGCAAGCCCGAGGAGGTACGCGTGGCGGCCAAGGATCCTGAGGACGAGGGGTGGCCGTCTGCGGCGACTGGAGCGGGAACACGGCGCCGAAGCGGAGGGGGGGAACCATGGGAGGACGACGCGACGGCCCGGGGAAGGGTGCAAGACTTGGCCTTGTGGCCAAAGAAACGACAGCGATGGCAACGAATATCCTTCCTGCAATCAGAGAGGGGGTGACCGGAGCCCAAGCACCGTGGACAGTCGCCCTCGCGAAGCCAAGACGGCCTGGGGCGGGGCCGCACGTCCGGGCCGCGCCGGCGATTGTCCGGCGCGCGCGGACGGGGCCGCTTGCGGCTCGCCACCACCTGCCAAGGCACGCGCGCAACCACCTCCTCCAAGGGCCTCCGGCAGATCTCGGAGCGGGGAGGCGGGCGCGGGGCAGGCGGCGGAGCTGGGCCCGACGGCGATGTCGCAGGGGAAGGAGAACGGGAGGGAGCGGGCGCCCGGGATGGCGATGGCGGGCGGCAGAGGATCTGGCGGTAGGTG